GTAACAATTTCCAGATTCACTCAATTTATAATCATTTCCTGTGTCGCTGCAGAAGCTCCACTATGCCCTAAGGCCACTTCACAACGGTAAATGTAGCTCTGCCCAGACGTTCGTAAATATTCTAGAGTGAAACTATAATACAGTCGTTACGGACGACGACGACGACTACTGAAGTAGCTAACTTATATATATATCGTTAAACTCAACCACCCTTTGTTTTTTTGTACAGCCGGCTTGTAGGTATATCAGCAATCGCATTATGGGCACCAGCTCTTATAGTGATTAACAGTGGGCATGGTAAATAGGTACGGTACGCTTCGGCAGCATATTCTCTCATCATTGCGTAAAAAATGACACTTACACCTATTATTGCTTGCGCTATAATGGCTATTGAATTGTATTTATTGCGGGTAGAGAATTGGACGTTTTCAACGCCGATGGTCGAGCGTGATTACGTAATGAGTTGCCGGTCAGAATCGTAGTTAGTCAGAAACGTGACTGGGTGTCAGGCAGAAATTAAACTTTGGCCTACGCCGTTATGAGTCAGACACCATATTCGCCCATTCCACCTTTTACCACGGGTTGCGCAATCGAAGTACGCCATTTATAGATCTTCGGCGCTGAATATGCCATTATAACAGCGCATATACAGGTTAACGTGCCATTTCTTTATGTGCATTGAGACTACGATGATGAGTGTGTGGGATTTGAATTGCGGTATGGGAACTCCGAAAAATAGCAGGGGATGTATCGGGAATCCGTAATATTATGTTTAATCTATTCATTTCATTCGTTGATTTGATTAGCATATTTAACAATCGTACACATTTAAGCGGAATAGTTTGTTTTTACTGTAGCATTATTTTTTTTTCGGGGGATACGGAATTATTTCAAATGCAGCTTTGTTGACAGGCGGCGAGTTTTGAAATTCGCATTGAGTCATTGATACGAGTAACACTGTTTGAAAGATAGCGCGGCAACTACAGCAACAGATATAAGCCTGTCATCTATCTTACACGATCTCTAGAATGAACGTAGCAGCGTTCGTTGTGCTGGTCAGTGCTGAAAAGGCTGTACGACTTCAAATCGTGTGCGTCTAATTATGGACTGATTGAATCAGTTAATTGATAACAGTTTAACATCGATAACTTTCCAGCTTGAAGCGCATAGAGGGATTCGCTTAGCCCGTGATAACCCGACGCTAGAGCAACAAATGGCATGAGTATTCTGCTTTATCTACGATCAAACGATGTAGATTTCGGAGAGGTGTACCTGAACCGCAAATAAGACTGTGATACGTGACGAACCTAAGATTATACTTCCCAGTAAACTACAATCCAGTTATTTTTCTATGTCTGCTGCTACAGTGGCGCCATCTTCGCAGACAGTTGAACGCAGGCTGTCGCGCGAATCGAGAGGACAAAGTCCATCTGCGTATGAACAAAATGACTATAAAAAAAAAAAAAAAAAAAAAATGATGTTTGCGGTACTTTCATTTATTAGCATACAACTTATATATGTGTGAGTCAAGCGCTCTAGCTTGGCTTGTCAAACATCGATTTTATACGATTTTCTCCCATTGTTTTCGCTGTACAACGGCGCTCAGTTTGTATCGTCGGCAAACGCGCTATTCCACTTTCGCCCAAAGTGGCCCTTGATAAGATAGAGCACTATAGATAGATAACATTGACGAGTGCTGGTACCAATGGCTGACCCGCTACTTTCTAATGCAGGATACTCCATATGCCTTAGCCTTCAAAGTTGCGATCCGTCAGTATCGTAGCAACTGATAACTGGCTAAGTGTTTCTTCATATCTAACTTTAAGGTACATAGTTGCTATCAAACCACCGACTAACTTTTGTTTAGTTTGTTTTAATGTTTCGACATTATTTTAGAAAATATTTTTATGTGACTTCCGGCCTAAACGTGGGACCCCAATATCATTAATATATATATATAATAATATAACATCATTAATCTAATGTTTTTACATTTTTTCTCAACAGTATGTAGTCCGATTGACGCAGCCTTACCGAATAGTTGCATATGGTACCGTCAACGTAAAAATATTATTTCAGAGGATTGTTGCCAGTCATTTTGCTCCTTTTAGCATATTTGTCATATAAAGCCTACTATCAGGGCAGGACTTTTTGGCCAATTAATCCTGTACTATTCTCCAACATGCAATACAAGTCTGACGTTCCTATTATAACATAACAGTGAAAAAAAAAATTGAACTAACCTAAAAGAACGTCATAAAATAAATTGTCGGGTAGGAGTAAAAATTCAGCTTAAAAACAATTTGTGTTACTACTTAAAATTTAAGGGAAAAAGTTGTTTCTTTAGTGCCAACTATCGTTCGCCGCGTAACTGCGCCGCTCTGTGCTTTAAAAAAAAACGCTAGTATAAGGTAACTGATTGTTTAAACTGTTGAGATTGTCAGATGCAATTAGTTATCGCCGTAACCACCGCTCTTGTTCAAAGGATGGGAAGGATGTTGGTCGATCTCATTTATATCTTTTTGATAGATCATCCGCTTAACGTTTCAGAATACATGTACTTGCTATGGTGTATAGAAGTTCGCGATTTACGGAGAAATCGGCAATGCTTTAGTTTGTCAAAGGTACATCACAACGTTTTTCAACTTACTGCTTGTTGCGGCCAATCATAATTGAATGCTATTTTGCCTATGTAGTCTTATACATACAAAATGATCTTATATAGATCAGCTTGCTACCTAAGTATAGGAATTTACGTTCGTTTCTAGTACAGCGCATGTTCTGAGTAGCCACTCAGTGTGTTATATCGAACGATACATTATAGGAGGCCATCTCGATATTAACATTTTGTTAAGATGGTAACTATAGAAAATGAATGAAAATAACATATGGACGGCACTATCGCAGAGAGATTTCCGTCTGAACTGACGTAAATGGACAACGAACGTCTGTGCCGCATTTACCTGGAAAAGCCAGAAGATTAAACTTGTTGCAGATCTTAAATACACAGAAGTATTAGCAAGCCTATCGTACGTGTCAGGCGTAGCTAGACATACATATAGCTAAACAGGAAATAAGCTAGAATGAACCTCCTCAAGTTACACTAGCTCATGCTCGTGTTTCGTCGCCAGCTTCTAAAATTTGCTCTTTTTTTTTCATTCATTACAAAGACTTCCAATATGTTTGGTGACTTTATCGCTCAATATTTGATCTCCGCTTTAAAGCGGTACATGCGGTATTGCTTTTCGTATATGCTCGTAAAATTTTCTTCGGTACGAACAATTCGGGACAGTGGTAGCATTACCCCCCCCCCCCCATTGCCCCTTTTTTACGGACGAAACTGAACGCACGCAATGAATTTTTTTTTTTTTATTAATTTGCCATTTAATTTACCCGCAATAAGTGCGCATCCGATGGCTATTAGGTCATTACTGGATAAATTACTGTCTGACAGAGAACATCCTTTACGTGCACTTTGTTTGTAACGAATGCAAACGAGCACGATTTGTACTTCGTACTGAACATGGGGCATGTTATTAAAATATATATCTGTTTGAAGGGGCACTTTAGTTTAAGGTCCGACCTATCGAAATTCGGCGGAATAAAATTACTAGCATATCGTACGTGAGTTATACGTTTTTGTGGCATGCTGAGGGTTTGTGTGAAGTTGAAGCATTCAATAATACCAGTTTATGTAGTGGCAAAGTACAAACGAATTTTGCTGCTTTGGATACAAGACCAATGTTCCACTGGAGCCCTCTGGGAGATCCAACAGAACAAACATATCGTTAATGTGTTGTAGATTGGTCCACAACTGACTTTCATTGCTCTACTGAGAAATTTTCAAAGTGATAAATGGTCCTTAAAATTAGTAATAAGCGCTTATCTTTAAGTCTATTTTTCGCACCCAGTTTCCATGGCTGTAACCAAGGTTCTAGCATAACTGTAATGAACGCCCCGCAGGTTTTACTTTAGAATCGACCAAGCAATAGATCATCACGAAGTGAAATTTTAACAATCCGCGGAAGAGATAGCAGTAGCTGAATGTTAGAGGTACTTTTTTTATGACGTGCATAGCTCGAATATGCACAGATCGTAGCTGGACAGTATGCTACAATTCTACAAGTAGTTAGGTGCCGCAGTCGAAACGGTAATTTAATGGGTGACCTTTGAACGAACTTATCTGAGACAAGGTAGAATATATTCGTCTGTATTGTCTTATTTATGGCAGGAGCTTAACTTGAATGTCTTAAAATTCATCGTGTACTTTGTAATCACATCATTATACCATAAGCAGAAGCGGTTTTCAAGACCCATCCGCATTCTCTTTTCAGTCTTTAGGCCTGCTTCACTGAAGAAAAGATGGGCTGTCTTTTTATGGCTCGAGACCTGTTGTTTCTACTATTTTGTATAGGCCATTATATTAACAAAAGATCTTGTATTTTGAGACCCGAAGATAATAAATCACTTGATTATAAGACGCATTTGTAATGAAAGGCCTGCACTGCCACCTAGCTGCGAGGAAAACTACGCTGGAAAATGCAACTTAGTCTTTTAAAGCACGACTTAGTTGTTTTCTCTCCGAAGAAGTCCAAGGCCAAAAAGGCCTAAGGCACTCCGAGTGAAGGACCGTTCGCAAAAAACGAGGGTGTTATTCTGTGATATTCGATGGAACGTCTACTATTAGCCATATCGATATGTTAGTTCTCAGCTTCAGGGCAAGGTCTGCCGTATAAGCTCGCTCAAGATATACTAAAAGACAGGAGGTAACTTTAGTTTGCATGGCTGTAAACTAAGGCTAATGATCTTTTTCGAATGTATGGTCGCCTGAAAATACAAATCTTCGCCGTTTTGCTTAACGAAAAAGAGTACTACCTCCTTCATCGTATCTAACGCTCCTATGTGTTACCACTCGAAGGTTTACAGGACAATTACGCGTAGCGTATTAAAGCCAGCTGACGTTCAATTGATTGTGACATCGTTTACAAGCCTAGTAACAGAAAGTCATATCATTATAAATATACCATATGGTCATGGACACCGATAAATTATGCCTTAAATAAAGGCTTTCTTTATTGTTGCAGGCGACATTGTACCGTACAAAATAACTTCTCTTCTTTTACAGGCGATTTGTAGGTATAGCTTTTTGACAATATACTGCACCGTATCTGGGCCATGAAGTCTTCGTTACTTTCTAAACGGAGCGAGCAATCTCGGCGGCAACCATTCGAACTACTTATTACTTAGAACGTTAACTCTCCCTTGCGGCAATACGATTAACGTGTCGAGCTGACCAACGGATAAAACAGCTGTCTGGATAACGGACAGCTTTTCCAATATTTATCTATTGTCTTTTTTTTTCATTTCTCTCTGGCGGACACGATTTGCTGTGCGCAGTTATTTCATCGTGAAATTCTACATAAGTTAACGCTTTCCATAAAGAAACAATTGCTATTCCGGTAGATTCTTTACGAGAACCGAAAGCTTTACGAAACATGGTCGTATAGTGGGGCCAAGCTTATACTGTATCACTATGCAGGATTTATTTTGTAGACCAATTGATAGTCTTTGTAGTCGCAACTTCACCTGCTATCGTTTTAAAACGTGGATGAGTTTTTAAGCACTGCAAGGAAGATAGGTATATAGGTAAGCATGTTTGCCGCTAAGGGCAAACGTAGCAACGTTATAGGAATTTGACGTATATAAGGATACGATTGACGTGTTGTAAAATAGTTTTGTGCAAGCTGAGCCGTCGCTGCGCTCACAGTGCTACCGGTTATACAATAAATGGCTCTTGTCAGATGCTGAGCGAATAAAGCTAAAATCAACATAACTGATAAGTAGAAGACGTATCTTAACGTGTTTACGAACACGATCAGACGACGAAGGCGATTGACACGAACCGAATAGCATATCAGACCCACAGTTTTACAGATACCAAGTAGTTCTGAATTTAACTAGGGGTCTAAGATATAGAACGCACGTGTCGCACCAACGTTATATTACAAAGCGTTCGCTAGGATCGCTCATTGATTTAAGAGCAAACTGTCAGAAGCACGTTCAGAGAAAGGGGTCGCTAAGTTTGCGAAGGCGGTATATTATTATTATAGGAAAGCTGAAGATTGAGGACAATTTTAAGATAATTCCTGAAATGCATAGTCATCAGGCGTCAGTGTAATGCTTTCGTCTAAATATCAGCTTGAAGTATGAACAAGGATGGTACATTGTACGTTGCGTTCGGCTATCGTTCGACGAAAGGAACAATCCCGCTTCCCATCTTACGTAGATTTTTTTCTATCATAGAATTTAGCGTCCTTGTAATGAAGTAACACCTTTTCGGACCTTTCAGCTGTCACTTTCACAGTATGCGATGTGCTGTTTTGAGGCCAACTTCTTGATGATATAGAAAATACTGGCTAACCTCACAAGGTTCGGCCTAGGCCTTTATTGCAAACCAGTTTATTTCGAAAAAAAAACTATTAGATTTCCGCGGAAAGCAGGAAGAAGGGAAAGACGTGAAATGTATCTTGTGGAACCGGATGTTGACGTCCACCTGTTCCCATAACGATTTCATGTTAACGTAGTATTTTCCAGCCACCTATAAGATAATAGTAAAAGAAATATGGTTAATGTTTGATTGCATTGCTGATATTCTATGACTGCTGCATATACTAAACGGACCGTGACTTTGAACACCTGAACACACGAATGTCTGTTGTTAAATATAGCCTCTAATTAGCTGATAAGAAAATCTATTATGTAAAAATATTGCAATAGTACGGGAATATGAAAATTAGCCAGTTACTGCTAAAACCTCACTGAAGGGAAAATAATTTTTCAGTCTTCAAAAGCAAATCATATTATTATGTGATTTAGGTGTCTGTATATTTTGCCACTAGAGAAGGAAGCGAGCTATTTGTAGTCTTAGCCGCAATGAGATTGGATTGCTAAATCCTAGCAAGTACCGTCCACTGCCTTAGGTCAAACTATATTTAAGGTGATAGATTTACAAAGTGATATTACTTAATTTATGATTTCGATTGCGGCCAAAATTAACTTATATTGCTAACTAACAATAGCTTATTCTGTGAAAAGTCACAAATTAGTAATTACACAGAATAAAGTACAACGGCCGTGGTACACAAACCATAAGAGAAACTTCGTTTTCGTTTATTAAATTTATCTGTTTAATGTAACCCATACTGTGTAGTGAGCAGATGTTAGCGTGTCTTAATGTTACGAACGTATTACTGATCAATCGAGCAGCTTGATTGTATTATTGGCGATCCCATGCTTTAGCACTCGAAGCTTTTATCTGAGACCTTTTCCTATACGGCACCAATAGCTGTTCGCACTAGAGGCTCGCCTTATCGAATATGGCAGTGTTTTAGTTGAGTAGCCCGGCTGAGTAACGTTTCTATACCAAGACGAGACAGGTTATGGCCTCCTCGCAAACGGATTCGAATGAGTTCACTGAAACCGTTGTGTTGAACGAGTTCGCTGGCTAATGCATCCGTCATCCCATACGCCTCATGGAGTTCAAGGTAGCTAAGTTGACGACAATACTTTAGTAGCAATAGGCAGGCTTCCTGAGGCACGCACTTGCCTTGCCGAGGTCGCATGTGCAGAGTGCGCAGTTTCTCAAAGGATCGCCCGGTGCCTCCGAACTGCAGCCAATGCAGCCTATCCGAGGTACAGCCAAGAAGAACAAACTGTTGTAGATCAAATGAAAGTAGATTTGGACAAAACAAGTGCGTCTTAGGCAATTCGATGACGTCGAAGTGTACAAGGCTCAAGTGGACCAGACGATGGCCCATCACCTTAAGCAGTGGGAGAATATCTTCGGTATATGATGATGGTGTAACTTGACTGTTCTCCAGACGTAAGGCTGTCAGCTTTTTCAGCTTCAATAAATGCTGGATATTCATAATTTTTTGAGATTTCAACGAAAGTCTCTGGAGGTTGGGGAACATTTTGACTAGAGTTTCAATACTGTTCTTGCCCATGACGTTCGTCACACGGAGCGATAACATCTCGGCACAACGCGTCAAAGCGTGTCCTTTAGCTTCCGAGGCGGCGTTCATTAGGCCTTCCACATTAACGCATGTCAGGTCTACGACCTCTCTAAAATAATTGAGCAAATCCAAAAGACTTTCGCCGTCGATCGAGGCCGGCAAGGCCAGGCTGCGGAGCGAGCCCCGTAAAGGGAACCTTTTTCGGTCGTCAACATTCTGCAACATATGGAAATCGAGTATACTTAGTGATGGGTGGAGCACATCCAGCTTTACTAGTTTCGGGCAGCGTTGAGCCACGTACAAAAATTCTTCGTAATGGGCTTCTTGAAGAACTAATCGCTCTAGATTCGGACACCTCTGGAGGATATCTCGGACCATACCGGGTGCTTCCGGTGAGTACGTCCACAGGCCAACCAAGTGAATGCATTTGAAGTTGTTCCCGTTGAGTTTCACCAGTGCAAAAATTTGCCCCAGCTGATTAAAAGGTATGTCGTTAATGCACTTGAAATCAAACTCCTCGAGGCCGTCAACCAGTAACTGTTCAGCGACCTTTTTGAGTGGCTGAGAATTACTTTCATCCTCCAGAACTGACACTAGTATGTCCTGCAGCAGAGTCGCTGGACAGCTGCGCAAGTTATACGGTGGCAGAGCTTGTGCACTAATTGGGTCACTTCGCGCCCAATGGAGTAAATGCAGCTTTACTTGCTCGATACACTCTTGCTTGAGGGTCCATCGGAGTGCTTTGGGCACGGGGTTAAGCTTTCGTCGCACGAGATCATCGTTTTTGTAATGTAGTTGCGGTTGGAACGCCATCGTGTGTTAGTTTGTTTGCGTCTCAAGTTCCCATTCAATATGGTGGTTGCGGTAACTGAAGACCTGATGATCTTGCTGTGCCGTGAACGGCGGTGTGGCCAGTTCGTTCAATCGCAGTGGCAGCGTCGGCTGAAACGGGAAAGGGCGTCCACTAGGGAGTCCACGACGTCATGTCGTTTCTCACTCTCCGCCTCATCCGCCGCTGCACACAGCGGCAGCAACAAAACCACTAGACATGGGCCCTATGCAGAGGCAGTTCAGCAACAAACCGCAAAGACGTCATTTACGAGGCTTCCCCAACGGCTAGAAGATGGCTGCATGAAACGATACGAGACATGCGTTCGCTTGCTAGCCTGCTTGCGTACACATAACGTCCAAAGGTAATGGAGAGAAGGAAAGAAACCGTCGGCAGGGCAAAACGATGACACTTTAGCATGACAAACAGACAGACAGACAGACAGACAGACAGACAGACAGACAGACAGACAGACAGACAGACAGACAGACAGGCAGGCAGGCAGGCAGGCAGGCAGGCAATGAATCATTCTATTCGTACAAATACAAACACATACACACACCCACGCACAGCCTCATTTGCGCCTCACGATAGAGGACGTATAGATACAGACGCGCATATAGATTAATTAATAACAACTTACTGAAGGAGCTTTCTCGCAGTAAAGCATGCTGTTGGCAGTCGAGCCGACGGCATCCAGGACAGCAACACGACAATCTGCGTTTATAAACGAAGTCCAAGAGTGGTCCACATAACGGCTTCTATCTACATGCTACAATAAGTAGATAAACAGGCTGATAGAACGTGTAACATGTTGCTGACAAGCCAAACGGCGAGAGCCTTTAAAGTACACAAACACACACACACACACCCACCGCGAAGCACAGCAAATATTTCTCCTTGCCGCTTGAATCAAAAAGCGATACATCTATATGATGTATCGCTTTTTGATTCCTTCTTTGAACGATGGTTTACTCTGCTGGATATCTTTCAAAGGTAGTGAGTAATGCTTTTCCGTTCTTCATTGGGTCGAAAGAGATTTTTAAGGATTGGGAATATAGTTTATATGGCGTGATCGTTTCGTCTGATGTAAAAAGCAAAATACAGCAGAGTCATATTTGGCAGTGGGGTTAGGTTAGCTTGTGCCATGTGTATTATTTGTGTGACACACAAAATGAACTGTCCAGTAGAGAAATAAAAACGGAAAAATACTTTATTCACAAGTCGTTTCTAATAAAAGTTCAAAGCAAATGCACGCAAGGGGCGCTAGCTGAGCGCAGCCGCTACCGCTATTAAATAGTAATCCTTTATAGAGCTTATCTATCGTCCAATAAACAACGTGTACCGTGATTAAGCACCGCGCGTAATCACCATTGGCCCCTGGCTAAAATAATTACGATAGAACTTTCTAAATATTATATTGAAAATGTCCAAACATCTATATTGCTCCGATGGTAGACCGTTCATTCCGTGCTTTCGCAGATAAGTACATCCACTTTAGTTAGCCATAACAATTTGACTACAACAAGTTTTCGAATATATTCCAAAAGGTCTCTTTTCGACCCCATTCTATGCTCGAAGAGCTTGTGCAATCCTAATCATTTTACCCTCTTCTCAAAAAACATTTCGAGCTTCTTGATTTTTCTTCTTTTATTCCAAAATATAGAGGATCTTCAAATACAAAGAAAAAAACAATAAAAAAAAGGAGGCAAACTGAGCGCGCGTTACATTCCGAACGCCCTAAACATGTCGATATTAATCAATGCAACGTGTTTTGGGAGCTTGTCAGCGTTCTAGACATATCATTCGCTTCTTCATGAGTTCGTTTTACCTTTACAAGAGAGTATATACAGTAATACGTGCCTGCTTAGCACGAATTTGTCATCGGATGACGCGGCAGTCTATAAGCCGCTGAGACAAAAACAAGATACGTTCCAGCACAAAGTACATTTCAACTATCTTAAAAATTACTCTACTGCTATTCGATTCGTATGAAACTCCGGTGTATTGATTCGATTACCTGATAGATCCTCAATTTGACGAAACATGCGCTAATCCGCCAATCGAACAGGGAATCGGTTAAAAAGTTCATGGATTAGGTCGAACGCGAAAGTTATCTGATTCATCATTAATTGACGCGGGCAACGGCGGCCGTTTCAAATACGCGAAGCGCATATACCTTGAAAAAGTATGTTATAGAAACCTTTGTTCCACGAGTTTTTAAACCGTTATAAACCCGATTATGGATCGTGCTTCGGGTTGGTAAGTTCAGTTGGAACAAAGCCTTGTGTTGTGGTACAGAGTTGATTGCAACGTACCCTAAATGGATTGCCATTGTTGTCAGTACCATCTAAAGAAAAAAGTGGACCATGATGTCGACGTTTGCTACTACTGCTAACGGTTCGTAGAAGTTACCGCTTATAAGGACGGAACGAGAGAAATAAGTACAATAACCCAACAGCAGCCAGTTAACTGAAAAATTATTATCAACATTTCTATTAGGCAGCTTGCCGTTACAGAGGAAATTCTTCTAGACCCCCCTCCCTAGCCTTGTTATTGTTTTTTTTTGTTGCGTTTTGAAATGTCACTTTTGCTAGCTTTAGTAGCACGAAGGCTGCAGACTCTTTATAAAAAAAACTTAGATATTCTTGGCCATTGTTGTGTAATATTATAAGATAAGAGCAGATCTTTCGACGAACGCAGAATGACTAAAAGAAATAATTAAAAGACAGAAGAGATCGAATCTCCCTATTATCCTAATGTGCAGAGGAATTAATAGACGTTACCCTACTCGTGATGATATGTGCAACTTGGTGTGCACAAAGCTGGATCTCATGAATGAACGTATAGGTTCAGAAAAGCGGAACATGATGGTGGAATAATAAATATCCAAACGTTACGCTCAGAAAAATGTTGTAGTATATATTTCAGAATGTTTGTTTTACTTTGCATAAAGACGTACCCATTTATTATAAGCACACCGATCGTGCCCCATAGGTACGAAAATGCTACTTGAAAATTTCCGCTTTCTGAATGCCCATTTGTTTGGCAAATTTAAACGAACTAGTTTAAGACAATGGGCAAAATCCGTACTAAATTTTGTGCAGATATATGTACATGTGTCTAGACGACCGATAGCAATTAAGTAGTCCCAATATGTTTCTGTGGTAGTTTTGTTAGCTTATGTCGAGCCGCTGAACTCGAGCACGGTCAACTGAGTTTAAAAGCATCCGTCATCGCAGAGTAAGAAATAATGGCATTGGTTTTGTTCCCTTCAAAAAACCACGGTCTCCCCTATACGAAGTATTGTAATATAATATATGTGTGCAATATCTTTTACACGTAAGGGGAATAGATGTAGACAATAAATACTATTTGGTATTTGTACGGTAAACTGAGATAAAAAAAATAAGCATGTCCACTCATTTTTAGTTAAGCTGTTGCTTAAGAAGTAGCGTTTTTTTCACTTATAATTCTTGTTTCATCTTCCCTCACCTTTTTCCGTAGTTAGCTAATAAGTAAGTTCTCAGTAACACAACGTATTAACGAAATTTTTTAATAGTAATTGACGACAAACATAATTAGCTCCTACCGTCTGACATCATCCATATCACTGGAGCTGGAGTTCTTCGGAAAGTGAACCTCTGCTGAAGTTCCCCCGTCAGGCTTTTGCATTTGCTTGAAGCAGAAGCATTCCCGGAAACGTTACAAGGCAAGTCAGCGGCTTGACAAGAAGTGGAGCCATCCAGTTTTTGCGCCAATTTCCTGCGCATGGCTTTGTCCTCGACGAATCGGACTATTCGCCGCCGCCGCCTTGCATCAAATCCAAAGTTGAAGCAAAAATAAAGTCAAGTAGACTGGTTCTAACGCATCCGACCCGGGTTTCAAATGTGTTCGCCGCCTTTCAAGTCTTTCTTTTTTCCCTCACTTTCATCTCTGCCCTTTCTTCCTTCAAACGCGATCGGCCACGAACTGGGTTTCGAGCCACGCACAGAGTGCGCGTTTTTAGATGGAAGTACTTCGTTGTTTCGCCTGGCGCTTTCCAGTGGGCCGGGCAACACAGAAGCACAGGGTATTTTTGGGTTAGCCTAGGGCGTGTGTGTGTATATTTAAATTTGTATGTGTATGTTCTGGATTCCGTGTATGAGAGCCATGTTCCTTTTCCCGCTTACATTCGAACATACGCCGTATTGCTCCTTCTATATCGACACCAAACGATTGTACTTTAAATTCCCCAAGCCCGAATGCTCAGCGCCACCTGCGCTTCGCAGCTCGACCTCGATAGCCTAAGAGTCTGCCTCAACCGCCCTCTCTCTTTCCTCCCAATAGCTTCCGACCAACTCAGTCTAAACAGAGAACCCAACGAATTACCAAGCTCTATGAAGCCATACACCAGCGCAAAACTCATGTCTGTCTGTTCCTTCTACACCCGCAGCGTGCCCTCAAATTTTATCGGATAATCGATATTTTCAACTTCAACTTGTTCTTATTCGTTTTACCTTTTGCCTTTCGAGGCTTCTGTTGCTCCTCATAGCATGGCGTTGTTCGACGCAGAACGTTTAAGGTGTAGTTCTGTGTCGTAATAACACTGAGGAAGCTGGAAACAAACTATTGACAGACCGTATGCATTGTTGGGTGAGTGCGTAGAAACACAGTTCAAGAGTTAGCAGTTTTTTTGCGGTTTATTAGTAAATATGGTTAACAAGAAACGGAAACAATCATATTCGAGCAGACTTTATTTACGTATGCGTTCGACCCGCATGCCTTGTTTGTTTGTATATATTACCTAAACAGTTTGAATCGATTTCAATTATTTATTCTGTCACCGTATAGTCACCATTCATATCTGTTGGGTACAAACGAACACCCACGCATGGACGGGCTTCTTCAACTCCGTAACATCATTGGACTTCTGTTTCGTATTGTTGGCGTTCATTCTTTCTACCAAGAGCGTTCCGCCTGGTGTAGCTGCCTGTTCAGAAGACGGTCCTTCAGACTTCGCACTGCTTTCTGCGTTCCTCGACTTCGGTCTTTTGTTACCTTACTCCTATCATCACTCGTTTGTACGCTTATCAGAATATAG